TTCAGTCAAGAATGGCATGACGATACAAACAAAAAAGCAAAAGATGATTACGGAAACAGTTGAAATCACGAAACGCGCCTCGACAAATCAAAGCTGTCGGAGTTTTTCCCGGATCCGCTAATAAAAGTGGGGGAAGATCGATTGCCCCATGTTGTCGCTCATCTTACCGCAAGGAATTTGCTGCGAAAATCAAAACCAAGAGGAAAGGAGAAAAAAAAAAAAACGTGCTTTGGGGTAGGGACTGTTTGACTTGTTGACGACACCAGCGCAAATGCGTAAAGTGGTCGGCGACCACCCTGCAGCAAAATTTCATCTCGGCAGGCGACGTCCCCGAGGCGGCAGGGGTTCTTGACTGGCTCACTGGCCAGCGAGCGGGCTTTGTCTGGGCTGGCCCGCCAGTGCCCGCCCGTCCCCGTCCATCCATCCGTCCACCCTCGGATGCGAAAAATCCCAGGGTTACAACTGGCAGGCTGGCATGGGGGGGAGGGGGGAGGGGAGGAGAGAAGGGAGGGGGAGGCAACCCCGGGAGGACGGGATTTACCGCGCGCCTGCCCTTGGTTGACCGACCAGGCAAGGGACATGGGAAGGGACATGGGGTACCAGGATACCTGCATGCGATGCGCGCATCGGGATTTGGATGTGATGCTTTGGTGGTGACTCTGGCGTGGAACTTTCGTCGCCCAGTCTAGATTTTTTTATTGGTTTTTTTTTTTTTTCTGTTATCGTCCGCTGCACGCGCGACCTCTCATCGGTCTAATTGCTCCTTTGGCGTTTGGTGGTGTGAGGATGGGGAGGAAGAAGAGGGACGGTCTAGACCGCTCCGATGGAGGGAGGGGTGGTGGTGCGTGTTTCCCAAGCCACCACGCAGGTCGGATTGACGAGCAGAGCGGCCGGGGCATCTTCTCCCCGGTCTCCTCCCATGTGGCAGGACAGGGACGACAACGTTAGTTAACTTGCGCAGATGGCTCAAATCGGAGCCACTAGCGTGGGGACTGGGCATGGAATATGGGAAGATTCTCGCGTGTCATCCGACGTGCTTTTTTGCTTGATGGTTGCGGTGTCAGAGTGCATGGCAGTCGATGTCACCCTGGCCGGGGCCATGCTGGGAGACCATTTCACCAGAGCGAGGGAGACAGAGAGCCACTCGGCGGACACACTATTGTTGGAGTTCGAGATCGTTGGCCTCCTAACATGATAAGGGAATGCTGCAGGCATCACCACGCCTCACCGCCGGAGGATTGCCCAAGCTCAGTATCAAGCGAACCAGCCCATCCCAACCTGTCGGGTACGATGACGATGGAGACGGGCTCAACCGTGAGCCAAGTCGAGTGGCTTGCGAGCTCGGGCAGATTGCTGGACCAGATCCTCGGAACAGAGTGCCGCGCGAGGATCGCCGCACCTCATTCAAGCTTCCTTGTTGTCATGCATGTGTCTGACTTGCTCGCTTCTCTGCTCCCTTCCTTGCTTCTTGCGTCTTGTTGGTTGGGGGCCGATGCGGTGTTGCGAGTTCCCAGACAAGGTGGCCTGCATACCAAGCACATACGTGTTTGTTAGTTAGCAAAGGCGGGAGTGATCATCCCGGATGCCACCTGTCTCTTTTTCTCTCTTGGTTCGCTTCCAACTTGGCCAGGCCGGGGGGTTATGATTCTCGCTCTTTTGGTCAGGCAATTTCCCTTCCCGTCAATATCTGCATGCTACGCAGAGACGGACGTATCGATAGCTACGGTACCTCTGCAGCGACCCCGAACAGCCTGGGCCGCGTTCGCACATGCTGGCGTCCGTCCTAGTTGGGAGGGGAAACCCGCAGATTGTCGGGCCCTCGACCCTGAAAATTTAGCTCGTCCCACTAGTTATCGCAGACGAACCTCAGGGCATGCTCACTGGCGGTTGGGAGAAAGTTTCTCGATCCATGGCGCCGGGCGGCATTGGGGGCGATCCCGAACCACTCTGCTGGGACGACCCAAGAGACCCGGGGCCCTGCAAGCCTGCAAGCCCAGCTCGTCAAACTTTACGACCTGCCTCTTCCGGACAGCTCCCAAACACGGGAGGGGGTCATGGTGGCGTCGCAGGAGCATGCTCTGGCAGATTTGGTTTCCGATCGCCGGGACAGCCATGTGGAATGCGACCTCATCTCGTTAAGCAACTTTTGATCAAGCAATGCCAACGACGCGAGCGATTGATGTGCTTTTTGTGGGTGTCCTTGCTTGTTGATTAGTTATCTGACAAGGTGACACGGCGGGGAGGTTCCTGTGCGCAGATATTAATTGAATCATGCACTCCACAACCCTCCAAGCCAGGTTGTTGAACAGGGTTGATACTTGGTGGGGTCGGAGGAAAGGTGGGGGATTATTCACACGAAGATGTGAGAATCCTTCCGGATGACTGCCACTGGCGAGCTACGGAAATGAAAATGGTGGATAGAAGAGGGTTTGGTGGGCCAAAGCAACATGCATCGTCCACAGTAATTGTCGTTGGAGATAAGGTACCTCTCGGTCACTACTGCTGAGGGTGTGTCAATGAGACAGGCGCGTGCTGAAGGGTCGCAAAAACGTGGTCTGGAACACCGAGACTCCAGTTCACTCGGATTTTGGCGAGTTGCGTGTTATTGGCGTTTTGAGAGTCCTCGGGCTTGACCAACTGGCGTCCCTCATGCATATCCCGAGACTCAAGGCCTGCGTCAATGTCGGCAATGGACGTGGCGTGTGATTGGTGTTATTGGGCATGGCGGGTGGTGTGTCCCTCACCGGCGTGCTCCGGAGCGTCCCGGAGCGCCCTAGAGAGATCCACGATGGCGTCTTCACATCGCCGACGGGCCCGAACTTTTCAACCGTTCTCCGCCGTTGCATGTTTGAGGCGAAGAACGCGGGGGAGCCTAAGTTAGTGTTAGGTCGTTACGTTGGTGAAAAACGTTAGTGGAAAACAAAGTTCCCACGTGTTGATAGGTGGGTTACGAAAAGACGAGGAGCGCCAGAGATAGTGGCTTTGCAGGCAGGCGCAGAAAGCTCTGCCCCCGTTTGGGTCGTGACTGGCGAAGTGGCCTCACCTCATTTCTGTTTTGGGGAGTTGGCGGGCCGCCACGGTTGCCAGAATGCACGAGCAACGCCACTTGTCGCCGTCTCAATCCTACACCAAACCCCAGGTCTCAAGACTGTGGAGAGCGATACACTAGCGAGTCCGGAGTCAAATCCAATGAACTCCGTCGTCTCGTCTGAATATTGCTCTAAGACAAGACAAAGCAGCCATCGGTAGTCCGGTTTCACGACGGACCCTTGCGTTTAGTTACCAAATTTAGGCTTACATGTCGCCACTTATTTCTCTGGTTGTCTAGGGTCTGGTCTACGCATCAATGGAACTTGGGACGGGACACGAAACGGGATGAAGTTCGATGTCTGGGCTCATGTGCCACGGCTGGTGCCAGGGCCGCTGCGACATCAGATCATTTCGACAGGGGATTACAAGTGACCCCGCTGAGCCTGTTGCCCAGGAACCTATACAGAATGTTCAAAAGAAGCTTATTCTGTGTGGAAAGCAATTCTTTACGGGCATTCCTCACGGAGATATGATTAAAAATGTGCCGCGGCGTGGGATGCATTCCCAAGCAAGTCGTTGTTGCCTTCAAAAGATGAGTGGAGGCTGAGGGTTAGGAGAAGAGAGCCAAGGCTGGACTGAGCTCGGGACAAGGTTAGCTGTAACAGGCTAGATTGACTCAAACCCCTGGCTTTCGCCTAATATTTCCATATTAAGCTAGTAAGCTTGATTCATCTCATCACTTCAGAAAAATGTGGCACAGCCGCGGTTCCTGCCGTGGCTGGAAAGTTCACTTCCTGCGAGAGGCCCTGGGTGCCTCGGTTCCTTGCCCCTCCGCGGCCCACCGGGAGCCGTTCCCGGCTTTGAGAACAGAGCCGCAAGCATTGGTCCTTGCGCACCCACGTCGAAACTTGTGGAGTTGTCAACCTTGACGCTTTCAACCAAAACAACCGCAGCTCGCACCCATTTTCGCACTTGGGCCGAGGCTGATCCATCTCTTCGATGCGACTCTGGACAGGAGGCCCCCCTGTGGGCTGGCCCAGGTGACTCCTCCGTGAGCGATTTTACAAACATCTTCAGAGTTGGCCCCAGAAAGTCCGGGTAGTAAGCCGGTTGTCTTGGGCCGGCGAAACCCGGGGAAGGATGGAAGTTCTTGCCGACCATCCGGACCTGCATCCGGACTGTTTAGCTTGACGCCACTGTCGCGACCGTTTTCTGCGGTCAGACATGAGCCGGGCCTTGCGACACCAGCAGTGCCGGCAGTGCGAGTGGCCCCCGTTGGAGGAGGCGTTTTGGGCGCGCGGAGAAGACTGCGCGATCAATGGCAACAACACAAACAAGGGAAGCGTGAGAGGCAAGCGAGATCGGCTTCGTGGGTCTTGCACTAGCGCGACCCAACTGCTGGGAAAGATCTCCGCCAAGGGATCGGCATCATCCGCTTAATTCGGAGAGGCCGTCTTGGCGGCCTCTCCTTCGGAATATCACTCCGTGCACGGCCCACATGTGGCACGTGGGGATTTTCCCTGCGATCGCTGGCTTGTTGTTGGCCTTGCTGCTTGTTTGCAAAAGGATGTCATCGGAATTGGCGGTGTTGTCTGGGCAGAATGTGGAGAAGGAATCCTCATCAGAATGCCTTCCCATTCGTATTGGTAGGTCCATCATGGCTCAATCTGGTGTCAAGCAAGTGGATCATGAAATTGTCCGATCGCGCTGTTCCTGTTTCGGCTGGTCGCAATGATTGCCGGAAATGGACAGAACCTGCCAATTAGGCCTGAGGCCCGGGCACACAGGCAACCAGCCTGGACCCCAACCCTCTCCTTCTCTGACCGAGCCACGGATCGCAAAGAAGGTTAGAGATGCGGCTCTGGGTCTCTCACGCGATGAGGCATTTCTTCTAGGGCTCGGTATCCCAATTCTGAAAGGAAAATGCAGGGAGTGGCGTCGCCAGCCCACGGTTTGGGAGGGATGAATTAGCTCAGCCCTATTCCATAAACCAAGCTTGGATTTCGGATCAAGACACGACGTAATTTTCATAACTCAAAATTGTACTTGGCATATATTCGAAGAGGACCGCGATTGCCGCGATAACAGAGCCACACCGCTGCGTCCCCGGTCCACGCCTTATCTGCACCCTCGCCCCATCTCGGCAAAGTGCCTGCACGAGGCTGGCGGTTCGATGAGCATTCGATTCCATACCGTCCCTTCCGAGATGTTCCACGCAGTCGCGAAGACGGCAAAGCAACTTCATCTGGCACGGTGCTTCGCTTAACTTCGCGGCTCAACGCGAACCACTGTTTCCCATCTCGCAGGTTTATGCGAGTTGAAATGTTCGACCGACGAGCTTGCCCGCCTGGTCACCTGCCGCGTCCTTGGATCTGGTTCGCTTGAGGAGATCATGGGTTTTCACCCCTTTTTCTCGCATACCGCGAAACCGCATCCTAGCCAATCACTGGCCAGACGCCCAAGCGCATGAAGACGAGATAATTAACCACGGGGTGAAATCCCCTCCACAAACGTTTCGTGGGGTGAGATTTGCGAGGTGAGATTCGCGAGGTGGCTTGCTCGGGGAAGGGGCGCGTTGTGTTTGGGTTCCGTTAGGGTCGACTAGTGAACACTATACTAGTGAACTCCGTTGGGCGCGCCCTGGGCGACATCCACGAGATGGCTTGGGCCCAGAACAGACCATCAATGGCTGTGGGGGTGGCGGAGTCTTCGTCAAGTTCCGATGTCTCACCAAGCAGGAACCAACATAACGGTGTGGGTGAGCGGCGAGGCGGTGATAGCCCGGCCACGAGTTGAGGGAAACAGCGCGGACCGTGGGAGCGTGGATGGCCCACACGAACCACACCGCTGGGACCCGTAGGGCTGGGGGCCAGTCCTCCTCCCGTGGGTCTCGGTCTCCTGGCCGGACTTGATGGCGTCGGGCTGGGCCCTACCCTCCGAAACTTAGTGTCGACTAGAATGCAGCAGGACGATTGAGCCATTGCTGCAGGGACGGCTTGCAGCTCGGTTGACCAGAAACGAGACGAGTTCACTTTCAAGTTCTGACCGGCTTGTGTTCCGCCCGCTCTTGCTGACCACCATCACCACCACCACCGCCACAGAACCGGTCGATTGGGAGCTGGCGGTGGCTGGCGAGGCGAGATGGCGCCAAAGCTTGGCATGGATATAGTCCAGATGGTTGGACAAGGATGGTAAGAAGCATCTGCTCTGGAAGTTGAAGTTCGAAACCTGATCTTACACTATGTATTTGCTGTGCCCCAAAGCCGACGGCGCCCTTCGAGCGCCAATGCAACCCGTGACGCTCGCCCGGCTCCCCGACCACGGTGTAACTCTGCTGCTGTCGCGGCCCTGCTGAAGTCGGCACAGAGAAGTCGGCCCCTCGAGGTTCAAACTTCCACTGCCATGTCTCGTTGCACCCTTCGTTGTCCGACACCACCCCTCGTTCTCCTGGCCAATGGCTTCGCAGCTCATCACCTGCACACAACATCGGTCCTCGGCACTTTCGGGGATACCACCATGGCACAAATCGGCGACCATAATGCAGTAAATGCAGGAAATGTACGACAGCATACGACATCAGTTATTATTTTTTTCGCTGATGGTTTGCGGATGGCCGCATGGCACCCCAACCAGTGTCGGTGTTTACAAGGGGAATTTTCAGGGCGCACCGTCCACGGTGACAAACCCGGAAGGATGGGTCGATACATGGGGCCCTGTTGCTTGGCGCAATTGCCAACCATCATTTTGGCAGGGCCAGGACCAAGCAATGCCCTGATCTGCAACCGATCAGAGATGCGATACGATGAGGATGGGGGGTGAGTGGGTGAGTCGCATGGTGCGCAAAAGAGATGTCATCATTCTCAGACGAAACAGAAATTGTACCCGGCCGAATGCAACAGTGACGTGCCGTTGCCCATCAGAGTTGCATGGTGGCAGTTCATCATGGTCCCAAGACCAAGGTCGTAGTGTTGCACCGCCCCCTACCCGGAGACGCTGTCGTTCTTTTTTTGGATTTTACCTTTTCTCTCTCCCCACACCAAACAGCGGGGATGATAATCGAGGGAGGGTTGGTGCCCCACCGGGCGTAAAAGACACCACTGAGGCGCGGGGGGCCATCTGCCGGCTCAGCCACGGCTAGTCCCGATCTGGTTTCTTTCATCGAGCCGACTTTGGCGCGCGCCGATCATGTTGGGAACTTTGCTCGTTTTGACTTTTCTCCAAGGGCCTTGGACCCGGCTCGCTTGTTGTTGAGATGATTTCAACACAACAAGAAAACAAAATAGGCGTGAAATAGCGACGGGGCTCCGGAAGGGCATGGAGACAACTCGTAATAGTAGTTTTGCTCACCGCCTCTCTTTAGTTCGTACACCTTTCCCTTCTACACATTGAAGCAACACCAGTGGTCTGCAAAGTCATTCTCCACACCGGTACACAGATTACATCCATGCCGATTCTTGTTTGGTGTCCACGTCGTTTACCAAGATATACGCCGCTGTCGCGCCGGACCTGAATGGCAAAGTCGCGGCAACTGGAACCAACGCTGAAGTACGGGACGTCTGCCGGAGCGGGACGGGAGCACCGTGCCACCGGGAAAGAATTGACCGGTCCGGTCCCATATACAACCTGGAAGCAACAGGTCGTAAAACATGTAACAACATGAACTAACCCAACAGAACAGACCAACAACCCAACCCACGAATTGGGATCACCAGCCACGGCATGCTTCGTGCCGGGACCGTTCCTGACTCGCACGTTTTCCAATGCCTGGGCGAGTGACCTATGTGCATACTTCGACCTGCCTCCCCTGTCACACTCATTTCAACATTATGTTTATCTTGAGATGACGGAAGCCAGCAAAAACTGGCCTGGTTTCAATCCTACACTAAAAAGCTTGGTTGATGGGATCAAAACAATCTCTCGCAAAAATGCCTGTGGGTCGTGGTCCTGTCTCATCCCACAATCAAACTCCGCGGTCGGCAGCGAAAATTTGAAGGGTTTGGCTGTGGACACACGGGCAGCGGGGGGAGGAAGAAGGAGCAAACGCAAACCCCACGTGCACAAGGTCCCATTCTCCAACTCATTACCGATGCAGCAAACTGACTGGACCAAATACGAAGCAGCGATCTTGCCCTGCGGTCCACCAACTGCTTTTTCCTGTGGTGCAAAGAAGAATTGAGTTAAACTCGCAGAACTTCCAGATCTCGTCGAAATGTTCCGTCAGCGAATTCGAAACTGCGCCCAGCGCCCAAAGTTAGTTTCAACTGCAAGCGCGTGCGCGATGCAGCTTCGCCAAGAAAGGTCATCGACGCAGAGAGCGCATGCAAACCACAAGCCACGATCCACACCGTTTCGTTCTGCTTTCCGGATGGGAGGGTTGTCCCAATGCGGCCGGGATAAGGCTGTGCACCTGCACGGTGATCACCTCGACTCCCGGCTCTTCGCCGCCATTGGCCGCTAGGTATTGGCCTCGACAGCAACCTAACTTGCAGCGAGTGCGACCAGTGCAGCCAGTGCAGCGAATGCAGCGACTTTGCAGCCAGCAACTGGGTGAAAACAGCCCCCAATTCTCCAAGTGCGTTGGGCAAGCCAGGAACCGGGCACAGCGAGCCTTAATCATCACCCAACAGGTCGGGAATGCGCAGCAACCAAAAAGCTGCACAAACTGAAAAAGTAAAAATATCTTTCGGGAAATCTGGCATGCCGTGATGCAACCAAGATGCAGAGATACAGTCCCTGCGGCACCGCCAGAGCCTCCACAATATCCCACCACGGCGCTCCACCAGACCACAATCGGCTGCTTTCTCCGAAGCAAGGGGGTTGACGAGAACGGCTCTTGCAGGTCCTACACGGTAACTAGTTCGCGACCTACGCCGGCCGCAGTCAGTTGTGTGGATGCCCGCCGTCTCGGTGGAGGGATGGGGCTGGAGGTGCCTGGCAGCCTGGATGATCGCCGTGATTGAGGTGTGCGGGCGGGGAGAGGGGAAAGGTCCTTTCTTTTCGTTCTGGTCCTGCCCGAGTGGATTTCGAGGTTTGCGTTCCATCGTCGTCCCATTAACTAGGGAACATACAGCAGACAGACAGACAGCGACACACGGGATGCAGGCGGACTGCATCGGGAAATCGATGCTTGGCTGCTGCGGCCCTCCCGGTCGCGCTTGATGAGTGGCTCTCTTAAACACCCGGGGAGAAGAAGCAAAGACAACAACACCAAACGAAGTGATTTTTCAGGGGTTCCAGGAGAAATGTGCCGTTTTCCCCAGGAGTGGGAGGAGCCCCTTACTCCGGCAGCATCTCCCATCACGACCTACCTACACAATGGCACGGCGGCGGTCTGTGAAGGAAAACTGACGCAGCGGACAGGATGCCCGTACTGTGTGTGGTGCCAATAATGCGGGGCCGAGAAATAGAAAATGACGAGATGCGTGTGGGGGAGGAAAAGTACCCGGCCAAGAAACCCGGCCAGGACGAGCATGATTGTTTCAGTCGTGGGTGGTTGAACACGCGCGGGAAGAGATGGTCGCGGGCTGGCCCTCTGGTCTGGCGCTGGCTAACGTGGTGCCGAATCGATCCTCGCCGCTTGATGTCTGTGCTGTCTCGCTTGTTCGATACCAACGAGGCCATCTCTCTCCTTCTCCCTGGCTCTCCCGCGGACCCAAGTCGCGGCCCACCCGCACGTCAAGCACAAAGCACACACCCAAGCCGCCTTCGCGGTCTCCACTCGTCGCTTACCCCTGTCGGGGCATCCACGCCAACCACAGGCTGGGACCGCGGGTGGTGGACTGGCCAGTGGGCGCAGGACTTGCAGGACCTCGTTTTCCAAGAGGGCGCCAATGTACCATTGTACCTCCGTACCTGGGTCACATCCAACCCCCCTGTCACCCGAGCCCAAACGCAGCCCCATGTCACCCAAGTGGTATCCAGGTATCCCTGTACCGCCTCCTCCCCCCTGTACCCGCCCGCGCATGCAATGTCTGCACTGAGCCTCGCTGGACCGGGAGCCCTATTGGGGAAGGGGGGGGGGG